CAGGCACGACGAGGAGAGGCGGAAGCCGACCAAACCAGAGAATCCGACAAGCGCCCCCTCGGACCGAAAAGAAGGGCAATAGAAGAGACGCAAGACAGGCGTGCCGCCGACGTTCCAGCAGAGAGAGGGGGGGGGGGGGCGCTTGTCGGGTTCTCCGGCAGGGGGCCTCGGTAGAGAGTGCTGTGGCACGTCCTCCAAACGCTGGGGGTCAGCAGCGTGTTGCGGCGCTGCCCCGTAGTCTTACGGCGTCACGGCATCAAGCTGCGACGCTGCCGCCTGCACGAAAACCATCGCGCAGAGACATGGGCCCACAGGGCCGAACGCTGTCTTCGCGCCCCTCACGGATGCGGCTGCAGAGGGCTGTGCGCGGCAGGCGGGAAGGGCAAGCTCGTAGGCCGCTGCCCTCGCCGGGTGCTCGGCGACACGACCGAGGCGGCTTTGCGGAAGCGGCTGCAGGCTGGCGGGACCGTGGTGCAGGAGGGGCCGACAGCGAAGGTCCGCTGCGGTGGCTTCCTTGCGTCGGCGGTCGACGCGCGCGCCTCTGCATGGGCGGAGTAGGTTGGAGGCCCCTCTGCGCGCGGAAAAAGGAGAAAGGGGGAAAAGAGAATAACATGTGAGAGAAGGAGAGGTGGGATGGACGATCCGTGGGTCGTGACTGGGCAATGGCTTCAGGCAAAGCGTGACAAGAAGAACGCATATGGCGACCCACCTTGCTCCGTAGCCTCCGTTGGCCTCGGTGCTCTGGGCACGGGCGTGGTGAGGCAGGCATGCCGTCCACCCTGTCAGCGGAAGCGGGCTGCCCAAGCACGCAGACAGGCCGCCAGGTTGACAGGGAGGCGCGTCGACAGACAGGCGATGACGGACCCCCGGCCCGTGCAGTGGGCCCGCTCTCGTGTTCTTTTCGGTTCCCCGGTCGTCAGGGGGACGGGCCCGTCGCCGTGGCTGCCCCGGCGGTTCTTCAGGAGGACGTGGGAGGCTGCTCGGCGGGAGGGCCCTGAGCGAGCGTCGCCCCGTCCCAGAAGCCCAAATCTGAAAGGCCTCCTCATCCTCCTCCAAGATGCCACCAAAAGGCCACAAAAGAGCACCAAGAGATACGATAACAGCAACGAAGCAACAGGAACGATGTCGAGCGCCGTATCATGATTCGGGCAAGCCTCGTGAACTGCAGTCCTGGAGGCGCAATAGTTTATATAGGGGTCGGCGGACGTGGCGTAAGCCTATGTAATGTGAAAGACCTCCTCATCCTCCTCACGTAAAAAAGACGGCAAGCGGCAATGCGGCTGGCGGAAAGGAGCGGTGGGGGGAGGGGGGGACCCCCGGGGGCGGCCGCGGAGACGGCGGAGTCCGGGGGGAGGGGCAACAAGGGCATCATGATCGAAGCGAGGGCAACAAGGGCATCATGATCGAAACGACGCCCATGCTCGAGGCGCGAAGATCGGAGAGCCAAGCGGTGCTGATGCGCGCGCGAGGCCGCTTCGGAGGGGCACCGGGAGAGGGTGCGCGATTGTTTTCGCGCGCGCGGGGCACGGGGAACGAGCGTTGTCTTCGCGTCCCGGTCTGCGGCTAGTGGGCTCACTCGTTTCGAGGGTGACTGGACAGCGGGGGGGTCACTCAGAACCCCAAACCTCGTAAAAAAACATGGCTGGCTATGAAAGCTGCGCGGCATATGTGCCCTCGAAGAAGGTACTGCTGGTAGCCGTGTCTGCGAGAAGCTAGCTGCTTGATGCAGCCAGAATTATTGCTGCCTCTTTCCCACAGCTGGTGGAAGACGTGGTCATTGGCGGATAGATTGAAGTGAAGCGGTCGAATCTGTGAGCCTCGCGCAGGGATTCCTGGTCTAGGATCTTCTGCGAGCGCTCGGCAAGGAAGAAATTGTCCTTCTTGGCGCACGCCGTGGCTTTGGCCACGTTGACTTGGAGCCGTCCCGTGGTAGGGTCCCCCTCGCCAAACGTCCCCATCGGACCCGTTCAGGGCGGGCCTGTTCGCCAGGCGAACGAGTCGGACTCGTTGCTCGGGGCGGAGGTGGCCTGTCCCTGAAGGTCTGGGTCGGGCTATTGGCGTTGTCCTCGGTCTCCTCCTTGGCGTTGGCCTGTAGCTGGCCCTGGTCGGTGGCCTCCTCGTGCTCGGTGCCCTCTTCGCGGTTCTCTTTGGACACGGCGCCCTGGGTGTCGGACCCGGGACCAGGTGGCGTATGCGTCAGTGGATGCGATGGAAAAGGAGCAGTAGAAACGCTCTGTACGATTGGCGGGAGCAACAGGCGTGGTTGAAAGGCAGGCGCACCTTCGTTCCCTTGCCAAGACAGTTTGTTTGCGTGCGGCGAACATGTGGGGAATGGTGCTAGGCTTACAAGTGGTTATCGACTTTTGACTGTGTTTGGACATGGAACGGTACTCTAGTCAACATGTATATGTCTTCATACGTCTTCAACATCGACCGGAATGCGGTACCTGCCAAATGATATGCCTACTCGTGTGGCGAAGCCTATGCGATTAAAAGCTTTCCTGTGCGAGCGTGCGCCGCAGAAACAAACAACTGAGCATGCCATGGCGCGAACCTCTAGGCCTCGAAGCAGCATGAGACATTTCCTCGGTGTGCGATCTCGTTCCTTACGCGGCGTACCTCCCCTGTGGAGGTTGGCACGCTTAGCCTGTCGCCCGATGCGTGACCCCCCGCCCCTGCGTCGAGGGCTGCGGCGTGGCGGGGGGGGCACGCCCCCGAATTGGGCAACGGCTCCTCGTCCTCCTCCTCCTCCTCCTCCTCCTCCTCCTCGGCGGCGCCGCATTGGCCCCGGGCACGCGACGAACCTTCAGTGATCATGCAATATGGATCGGCGGAATGAGCGAATCGATCCGCCGCCCCACCCGGGTACGGCGTGTGAGAACCCCGCCGCATCGTCTGCACGAATTCTTTCCCCTCAGACCCTTGCCCAAGCACTCCTCGTACACATGCCCTCTCTCAGAGCCCTGGCACCCCCTCCCAGGGTCCTCCCCGCAACCTGCGTATCCCGCCGGCCCAGGGGCCCTGGCTGCACCCTGGGCGTCTGCTGGCCGTTATTTAGCCCTTCACTCAAGCAGGCCTTCGCACGGGAGACTTCTGAACGCCTCCAGTTAGTGTTTGGGACCTCCTCAGAAATCCTCCTGAGCAGTTCTCGGAGCCTGTTGGCGCCCTCTTGGGCCCATTTCGATCATTGTTGGGGCCCTCCGGCGCCGGCTCGGACCCCTCCGAAGCCCGCTTCGAAGCATGTTCCGCCGAAAACCCGAAGAAGCCGAGCACCTTCCCAAACCCAATTGATTTTTTGACGATTTTCGCCGCTTCGGCCTTCTCTTTGCGCCTTTTTGGGCTCTCCTGCAGCATCTTGTGACACTCTTGAGGCCTCCCAAACCACATTAGAATAGCCCCAAGGCCTCCCGTTCCGTCCTCAAAGCTTCCCGGGACCATCCGGCCGCCTTTTTCGCGCCTTTTTGGGTTGTCTGGGGCGCAGGCAGGAGGTCCCTGCACGGCTTTCGGAGGCCTCAAAATCACGTCGGAGAGCTCCTTTCTGCCTCTCTGTATCCCTCTTCGGTTTCCTCCGACACCTTTGGTTGCCCTCTTCGCTCGTTTTCACACCCTGTTGGGGCCCTCTGGGGATCTTCTTGGGCTCTGCTCCGCGTCTTCTTGGGCCCTCTGGGGCCGTCTTCGACCCCTCCCACTAACTTCGCGTTAGCGTGGAAGAGGTTCCCCCCCCTTTTCAGCACCAAGCCTCCCAAACCCCCCACGTTCCCAAAACAGCGTCGGCCGGCGGTCTGCGGCAGCAGCACCGACCTCTTGCGCCGTCTCCCGAAGCTTCTTGGACCCTCTGGGGCCGCGCTGGGCCCCACCCCCAAGATACTCTGGGGTCCCGCAAAAAGTGGGCCGGCGGTGTCTGCCCCCTCAGGGGCGTTCAATTGAATAAGGAACAGATGAGCTTTCATGGCCACGGCGAGCCGCGGCTACGAAGAGGCTCCCCGATCTAGATCTGACTAACAGCCCGAAATCCAGAGCCGCTCCAGAGCCCCCAGGGGCCCCAAGTGGTAATTTTTGCGCCGTCCATCACGTGGAGTGGGTCCTGTCATCTGGTCGTGCATCGTCGTTCGTCTCCCTCGCCTCTGCTGGCTTCGGGCCTCCTCTTGCCCCTCGGTCGTCGTCGTCGTCGTCGTCGTCGTCGTCGTCGTCGTCGTCCCGTCTTTCCCTCCCACCGCTCGCCTGTGCTGTGTGCATGACTGTCGCCGGATACGTGTCAAACTCGCTTGATGTATTTCCCCCGCTCGCGTCGGCACGCCCCTCACCCGTGAGCTAACGGCCTTTGCCCCAGCGCAATCGCCACTCGGCATTTGCTCGAGCGTGTTCCTCTGCAATTCGCGCCTGCGCTTGCCGCCCGCGCCTGGCCAGCGGATAGTGCATCGCCGCGGTGGCCTGTGCGTGTGTCTTGATGTGCCTGTGATGAGAGGATCAAGAACTGTTGGACCTCCGCGCGGATGTCTTAGAACGGCGTTGGGCCCCCTGACGGCGCCTGCGGCGCAGCCCCTGTCACGCTCCGCGCGCCAGGGAGGAGGTCCAGAGCCGACCCAAGAAATCAGCGCAGAGCTCCAACAATTCAGGGTTGTGCCGTGTCTTCGAATGAAGTTGCCCGTGTGTATGTATGTATGTATGTATGTATGTATGTACGTACGTACGTACGTACGTACGTACGTATGTATGTATGTATGTATGTATGTATGTATGCATGTATGTATGTATGATCGTGCTCATGCTCTTGCTCAATTTTTGTTGTGCATTCCTGCCCGCATTCGCGCTCATTTCGAACTTTCGTGGCCTTGGTGCGTGACGTGTGTGCGCCTATGCATGTGTGCTTGGTGATCCAAGCTTGTGCAGCTGCGAACGCCGTAGGCAGCATACCAACCACCACCATAGCAACAATTGGGCCACACGCAAGAGTGACCCTGGGCAAGAGTGACCTTTGATGCGCGGCTCGGAAGGCTGCCAGAGAGGGGAGGGGGGGGGGGCAACTCTCAGGGCGCAAGCAGTGCTGGAGGGACCCCTGTAGAAAAGTCACTGCGGCGAAGAGCCACAAGCAGACAGCCCTCCAAATAGTCTCGGCTGGCCTCAAAAGGCCCCCCGTGTAGCCCCAGATGGCATCAACAGGCCCACCGAATAGTCTTGGGCGGTCTTAACATCTCAACCCTAGAGTGCTGAGAACCCCCGGGGCGCCGGGGGCCTGCTGAGGCCAGCTGGGACTACTCGGGGGGCCTGCTGAGGCCGACGGGGACTACCTGGGGGGCTGGCCGTGCGCAAGCTCAAAGCCTTACCACGGGCCTCTCTGACGCGTGCAGCTATCGTGCTACCAAAAGGAACGCCGAATAAGAAACGAAGGAACTTTCCTGGCCATGGCGAGCCTCGGCTTCGAGGAGGCTCCCCGACGGATGCCTGAGGAAAGGCACGACGACCAGAGCCCCTCCTGACCCCAAAGTGGCCCTTACTTCGTTGTCTTGACTGCAGCCGACAGCAGCAGAACGGAAGGAGGGCCGCCCCCCTGGCCACCCCCCTGCCTTCCCCCCTTGTCCCCCTCCCTCCTCTGAGCCCTCCCCGTCCCGCCCCATGCTTCCGTCCTCTCTTGCTCCTCCTCCTCCTCCTCCTCCTCCTCCTCCTCCTCCTCCTCCTCCTCCAGCAGAAGCGGAAGCAGCGCCACCAGCATCGGCGGCGGCAGCGAGAGCGTGCATTTGCTGCACTGCCCCTCGGCCTGGCGCGGAGCCGCTCCTCGGCGCGCCGCGCCCGCCGCCTGGAAGGCCTGGCCGCGCGGGGGGAGGGGGACAGGACGCCACGAGCGGCGAACACATCCTCATCCACACCCTCGCAGTCTGGACTCTCGGGTCGGGCGAAAGGGGGGGATAGCAAAGGGGGGGTTTGAGAATCAGCTCACGCAGCTGATTTTCCCGGCGCCTCCCGGCGCCGGAGGTGGCCATGCATCGAGGAATGGGCCCCTCGGTGGGGCCGAAACCAGCTGCATGCAGCAAATTTCGTAACCCCCCCTTTCCCAATCCCCCCCTTTCGCCCGACCCGAGACTCTGGGGCGAGATCCCGCGAATCCTCGGCCGAACGGGTACATACGGGCACCGCGCTACCACAGTTCAGGAGCCGCCGAAGAGGAACGGAGGGGCACTCCTGGCCACGGCGGGCCTCGGCCACGAACAGGCTCCCCCGCCTGGATCCGAGGAGCGGTCCGCAAACCCAAACCCCTCCTGAGCCAGATTCGCGCGGGGCGCTCGCGAAAACGCGCCCCGTATCCGCGGGGTCGCGGCACAAGGGGCGCGGCCCGCGAGGCCGTGGGTACGGACATGCCTCCCCCCATAGAACAGGAACAGTCCAGACGGAACGAGCGGACAAACATCCAGGCGAAGCGTGCTTCGCCGTGTTCAGCCGCTGAGGGGCCTCACCGGGCCGCGGTACCGCTAACCCATGACTCGGGATAAATCATTCGGTTGACCCGAAAGGGGGTCCAGCTGAACGGGGGTGGTGCAATAGCTTGAGGGTTATTGTATTGCACATTATTGCGCCAGAGAGTTGTATTGCATCGTATTGCAACTACCGTCTTGCACTCGAAAACCCAGCAATACTTTTGCGCACCGGAATGTACTGCACGCCCCAAATCTATTGCAACCCCACAAATCTATTGCACCAGATCTATTGCACCACCCCCTTTTCGCTGGACCCCCTTTTGGGTCAACCAGAAAAGTAGGCCAACCCTGGGGAGAGGGTCGGGACTTCTGGGCCTCTCCCCTTATTTAACAATTTTTGGGACATCGGATGTCTGGGTAGACGAGAGGGAGAGATGGGAAACGGAGCAAAGACAGCAACCGAGTGTGACGAGAGAGAAGGGGCGGGGTCGTGTAAAAAGTGGAGATCTGGATTGGACAATCTCAAATGGAGAAGTGAGGAGCGAGTGCTCACACACCATGCCTGCCCAGATGGGCTGGGGAAGCAAAGAACGATGCGGAAGCAATGCAAAACCATATGTAATGACGTGGCCCCTGGCCCCTGCCAAGACACATCCCTGAGCTCCCATCACCGCTACTGATCCTGTCCACCTCTACTTCCACCTCCTTTTCAATTCCCTCCTCCCTTCCGCCCTCCTCCCTCCGCCTCCCTTCTGCTTGCACCTCCCACTTTCTTCTCTCAGGAAGGGCTACGTCTGGACGGAGTAAGTCTAAACGGAGCCCGAACACTCCGTGCGAATTTACTCCGCACGGACTTAGCATCCTATGGGGAGGGGCTAAGTCCGGAAGGGGTAAGCCCAGATGGAAACCGAGCACTCCGTGCGGACTTACTCCGCACGGACTTAGCATCCTCCGATCCTCCACGCCCGCCGCGCCGACTGGCAACGAATCGAGCGTCCAACTGCTTGCTGTCTAGGGCCGCCCGGGCCTTGTCCATGATCGAACCAGCCAGACTGTAGGCAGCGTCCACGCCCTGGGTCCGGGGGGGGGGGGGGGGGCAAGGCTCCCAAGGGTCGGGCGAAGCGTCGAGCTCCCACAAATGTCTGGCGACCGCCCGTTGCCAGTGCCCTATGCGTTCGACTGCGAGCTGGTGCGCGAGCGTCCGGCGGCGCCTCGGGTCATGGCCCGGCGCCCTTGCGCTCTGACCCGGACCAAATCTTCTGCGACCAGGCCGTAGCATGCTGGTGCCCAAGGACGGAGCACCGGTGATGACGGAACGGAGGGCTCCCCGTCTGCCTCTATCCTCTCCCGAGGCCCTCCTCCCTGCGCTCTTCTCCGCTCGGCCCAGCTTGACTGTGCGGCGGCGCAACTGCGACCGGCAGTGCACCGACCGTGCGTCCCACGCGGGCCATGCGCTAAGCGGGCATCAGCTAGCAAGCACTGGAGCAGCATCCTTGTCACAGCGGAATTGTACCAAACTTGACTGTATCTCCTTCGCACACCCACGCGCACACGCCGGCACACACACAACCACATGCTTTGGACAACGTCAGAGCTTACACTTGCCTCTCTTAGATGTGCCAGATCTCCACCCAGAGCGCGCCGCGGTAACTGGTAATGCTCCGCTAGTGGCTAGCGCGGTGTGCTCGCCGGAATGGGCTGTCAATATGTCGTGCAGTATGTGCTGCGCTGCGCCAGTATGACTCGACTTTACCTCGGATCCCACTGAATACTTGACTTCGCTACGACTCCGATGCGCTGTGCGCTGACCTGGTTCCACCCGCCACATCAGATCGAGCTCGAATGGCATATCACCGCCACATCCGCCCGCAAATCCCCTGCCAGGCTTAATCCAGGACCTACGGATCTGGAAGCCATTCCAGCGGCGAGCGACGGGAAACACTTCCCCGTGAGACGGTCGAGAAGGGCTCCCCTGGGAAAGGACGCCGCGCCTCCCCTCGAGAGATGATTCGGGGGGTCCAAGCATCCTTCTGCTCCGACAAGCAATTCGCAACGATTCCTTGCTCGTCATACGGGACCAGTGATATTCTACAGACGACGCTTGTGCCGATCATGAGAAATGCCTTAGCTGCTCAAGGTCGCCAGAGCCACATCCCTCGACATCACGCGACCCATAGCAGTCATTTCAACCTTAAACAGCGCAGCTCTGTAACCGCCGCAGCCACGGGGAATACTGACAAACTTTTCGCCGCCGGGAGCGCTGTCCCCCCATGAGAGATGATGGGGCTAACATTATTACCACCACTTGCCATTCCAGGGCTAGCAGTAAGGACACCGCTTACAGTCAGAGCGTAAGTCTTACGTTCCAGCTCTGGCCACTTCGGCCAGCTGACCCAAAAGGAACAAGGCGGCGCCTCCAACGCCGCCACCAGCTCGATATGAGAAGGGCCGAACTGGACGGGAAGTGGAGGATAGCAGAGAGAGGGTTGGCAAGTCAGCTGCACCTGGCCTTCCAGCCCCCACCCCAGATCGGATACCGAGGGATGCGTTTGGGGGCGGGGCCTAGACCAGCTGCATGCCGCAACATTCGCCTCCCCCCTCCCCTGGCCCAACCCGCTGCCCCTTCCGTTCTCCCCGACGGGGGGAGCCAGCGCCGACCCAAGAAATCCGCGCGGACCCCGAGATCAGACGTCGGTGCGCAAGAGGGAAGCGGGGCATTCAGGACGGAAGCCCTAAAATGTATTCGCTACCTTCGCGCTCCCAATGGCCGTCCACGGGCCTGGGGACCCCCCCAGGATGAAGACATCCGGCGACATGCTTGTTTGAATGCGCGGCCCCAGAGGGCCCGCGACCCCTCCTCCAGGGGAGTTTCTCGCCCAGGCAGCCGAGATCGAGAAACAGCGTAGCACTTCTTATCGAACAACGCCGTCGGAGGTCCGCGATTCTCTCCAGGCCCCCTTCCTTGAGTGCGTGCCGTGAAGAATCACAGCCGGGGCGGAAGACCCTGGCTGTCCTGCGGCATCCTCGTGGACCCACAGGCCGACCCGCGAGGTCCGCAGCGCGCCAGAGCGGGGCGAGAGCGCCCAGCAGAGGACACCATATGACGCAGAGAACTCAGGAAGCCTCCAGCAGCAGAGGCTTGAGCGGGTCCAGATGAACGGCAGAAACAACACGTTCAGAATGCACGCCCCTACACGCGAAACCGTCAGCACACGCATCATTCGGAAGAATTGGACAGGACCGGGCTGCTGAGCGAAGGCCCAGGAATGTTCAGTCATCGGGCTGGTGTCTCTTCCCTCCGTTGGCCGAACATGTTTGCCAGCGTGGACCATAAACAGAGCCTGCTTCTAAATCATGCTGCGCAATCCAGGTGGTAAAATCAATGTGGTGCAATTCGTCAAGTGCAATCGATGTGGCTCAAGCAATGCAATACAATGCAAAGCAACGTAAACAATGCAAATTCATGCTGACAGTACCAAGCAATGCACATCCATGCACAGCAATGCAAAAACATGCAACTCAATGCATACCAGTGTAAATCAATACGGAGCAGTGCAAAGCAGCGCGAAGCAATGCAACGCAACGCAATGCAAAGCAATGGAAACCAATGCAACGCAATGTAAACCAGTGCAGAACATGAGCCAGAGAAAAACAACAATCAGTGGATGCCTTTGAGTTTCAGAATGCGCTCCACGCCTGCACTCGCCTTCTCTTTATAGGCCTATCCCTCCTTCGCTCTACCGTGTGCATTTCATATACATGCGGTCTCTGCTTACTTGGTGTGCCCTCACACCCTGCTATGAACTCTATTGTCCCAGGCCTCCCCCAACTGTATACATACACATTTATACGAATATCTATAAAGAGACATGAACTCAATGTTTCTTTCTTTCTCTCTCTCTCTCTCTCTCTCCCTCTCTCTTCTCTCTCGCTCTCTGTCTCTCTCCGTGTACCTCGCCCTTCTTTCCTCTCCACACCCAACTTCGCCCAACGCTCTCTGATATGTACTATCAACATGTACTACGTCCATTCCTGCTATTACACCCAACAGCGGTCGCACATTCCCGTTAATTTCCTCTCTTTCCCTCCCCCTCTCGCTCTCTCCAACCCCTCTGGTCAACTCCGCTTGCAACCCACTGGCCCCTGTATTCTTTACGACCAACGACCCAAGCGCTTGGCCACAACCAACATCTCCAGAACCCAATAAACTTATGGTGCCACCATTCTACAACAAAAACCAAGAAACAGGAAACGGACCAAAACTTACAGTGCCGTGGACCCTGGAATCGGAGACCAAGAAACCAAAAAACTAACCGCCCACCGAACCTGGAACCCGGGAAACCACCCAACATTACACTGCCGGGAACCCTGGACCCAAGAAACCGGGAACTCCGACCTTACACTGCCGGGAAGACGGGAACAAGGAAGAAGGAACTCGGGAACGCAGCGGCCTTCTGAAATCGTTCCAGAACCTTGAATTAGGAACCGGGAGCCTGGGATCCCAGAACGGGGAACCCGGGAACACAGCTGCCTACCGAAACCAGCCCGGGACTTTCGCCAAATCTGTCAGAATCCACGAGGACCCCTTCGGTGCAACCACTGATTGAGGAACCAGAAGTAATGCGACGCAAAGCAAAGCATTGCAATGCAAAGCTATAAAAGGAACTGGAATCAATGCAACGCAAACCGTATCAATACAAATCAATGCAAACCCTTGCAAATCAAAGCAACGTAATGCAAATCAATGCAATGCGATGCAAAGCAAACCAAAGCAAGACAATGCAAATCAATGCAACTCAATGCGATGGAAGCCGTATCAAAGAAAAACAATGGAAAGTAATTCCAATGCTATGTAATGCGATGTAGAGAAGTGCAACGCACTGCAAAACACTGCAAAGCAAAACAATGCAACATAATGGGAAGACACCGGAAACACCGCATTTAATTCAATGCGATTGCAACGCCTTACGATAGCAAAGCAACAGTAAGCAATGCAATGCAATGCGATTGCAACGCAATGCGATTGCAACGAAATGCGATTGCACTGCAACAGAGGGGGGGTGTAACCGGGCGGCGGCGAACGGTCCGGGGCCGCCGAGCCAAGAGATGGGCCTTTCATCGGGAACGGGACTGGGTCAACAGACGGGCCCAGTTCCTGACAAGACAAGCAAGATGCTCTAAGTATAAGCATTTCTTCGGGAACACACGCACACACACGTACACGTATACATCATTTCCCCCCCCCCCCCTGGCAGCACTCAGGGAGCAAGTACAGAGCATATCAAGGAGGATGAAGTGCGCCCTACGCCACGTTGCCGAGCAACTTAAGCTTCGATCAACTGGCACCACCGCTGTGAAAACAGCTGGCTTCCTTCGAAGCTCCAGCATCGCTATGAAGTTGACACTCCACCCTAGACCACATCGCACCAAGCAATGTCTGTAACCGAACCTGCCCGTTTCCTACATGCACCAGAAGCCGCAGTAAGCGGACCAGTCGCCAGTCATTATTGCCAAGCCTTTCTGACGGGCGGCGTCCCCATACGACCGTCGCACTGAAGCCGAAAGTTCTGAAACTGAAGACCAGCGCGGTCGCTGGACCCACTTGGCGGCGCGCATGCGCGTGGCTGACTCACACGGGCGACGCTGGATTGCCCTTCACGTCGGGCGCCACGGTGACGTTCACGAGGTCTGTCCGGCACAGCGGGCACGTGCGGGACATGTGCAGCCACCCGCTCAGGCACTTCCCGTGGAAGACATGGCCGCAGGCGGTCCTCCGGATCTGCTGCGCGCTGTCGAAGTCCTCCATGCAGATGCTGCACTCCGCATTCTCCTTGAAGTCATCTGGATTGAACTCTACTATTTTACACTGCTCCAGAGTGCCTTCCGGTGCTGCTTCATTCGTCTTGATCACGCCGTTCTGAAGCAGAAACATAACAAGCCTGTGTGTCCCCAGGGCGTTGATATACATGAAGACGTTGAAGACGACGGAGAAGGCTGCGTAGACCTTGACGGCCTCGTAGAGCAGCGGCGAGGTGTCGCCGCAGGTGTCCGAGATGCGGACCCAATGCAGCCCGATACAGTGCCACGCGAACGTCAGCAGCAACATGAGCATTTTGTAGAGCCGCACGTACCTGGAGCACCCTGCCCTCCTTGACCGCCTGCTCGTTGGAATGTACCAGGGAGCTGGGCGGCTCTCGGTGAGGTCGTACTTGCAACACAACTGCATCAGCCGTGTGTGCACAGACCCGAGGCCACAGTTGAGGTGGTACGCAATGTTGGAGCACACAACTATGGTCCACGCCTTGAGCGGGACGTCGCACTCCAGGTCGAAGTCGGCCACCAGGGAGTACACCAGCCAGGTGAAGAGGCCCAGCATGGTCGGCAGCAGGATGCACATCAGCAGCGTGAAGATGCGGACCCACCTGTTGAAGTGGGCCTGGATGACCTCCATCTGGTGGGCCCGCACCTGCCGCGCGTCCACCTCCTGCTGGGAGTGGCCTGAAGCAAGCGGGGTCTCCGACTCGGACGTGGGCAAGGGCCGCTGCCGGAAATCTCGGGCCTGCGCGGTGCCATCAGCACCTGCGCCGCCAGCTACCGTGTGGGAGCCCGTCGCGAGCATTGACCGCGGATCTCCATCGGCCCGCGTGGCGGAGGCCATCCCTCGGGCCACCGTGGCTTGAGCCAAAATCGCCACGGAACGTACACGTATACATCTTGTGCAATCTACGCGGTGTAAGCCCTTCACGCGTGCTGCACGCACCGTTATTCAAGCTGTGTGTGGTGCAAGCAATGTGGTGTAAGGAACGTGGTGCAAACGTGTGGTGCAAGCTAGGTAGTGTATAAGCTAGGTGTGGTGCAAACGATGTGGTGAAGGCAGCGTGTGGTGCAAGCCTTGTGGTGTAAGCTATGTGATGTAAACAAGTTGCAAGAGCTTGAAGCCGTCTACTCTCACGCTCGCACAGGCATCCCACTTTCTTTCCTGCAACCTGTTTGGCAAAACCCATGCGGCGACGATTGCGGCTACTAGTTGTCACTTGCTAGCCCATCTTTGCGGTCGCGCCGGCGCGGGCCAGCTGGGGCGCAGGGCGACCAACTGGTTGAACACACCCGCTGCGAGCACGATGGCGGTCACTGGTGGGAACTTCCCAGCGCGTTTCTGAGGCCGGGCTGGCGCGCGGTCTTTGCGGGTCGGCGACCAGGGCGGGCGCGACATCCTGATGACGTCGGCAACGTCGGCAACGATGATGACATGTGCTGGCGCTGATGAAGGCGATGAGGACGATCACGATGGAAAGGCCAATGACGGCGACGATGCTACCGATGACGATAGCAATGAGGATCTCCATGCGTCGGGTGATGAAGGTTTCTTGTGATGATGCTGCTGGCAATGGCGTCGATTGACGATGGCGATAATGGCGGTAATGCGATGGTGCTGATGAGAGCGACGAACACATGTGCGCGCAGAGATTCGAGTCGCCTGGCAGACTTTCTAGTACACCACACGTGGTTGTGCAATTGTCGCTGAAGAGCTCGATCTTGAAATGCCTCGGAAACCAGTGATGTTGTAAGGAATTCGACACGCGTGCATGGCGGCGCGCGCATGTGGCCAACAAACTATACTTTGATACGGGTTCGTGAACTGAGCGCATGTTAGATTCACGCGAATCTGGACGAGATCGCTGAAATGATATGGTTATCCCATGGGTTCAGCAACTGCGCGCGGACAGACAACCTGCAATATGTTTAATGCAACAACATATTTGTCACAATGCTTGTGTTGGACTGCTTGTCTGACAAACATGTTTAGTATGGATTCGACATGTGCACGCGCGTGTTGAGTTCGTGGGAGGCTTGTGCAAGGGATTGAACTTATGTTTGATATAAACGAGTATGCGCGCATGGCATGATGGGCCAGGGTGAAGGGGGTCAATACCAGCTGGGCAAGAATGGTATGATCTCGCATGGAAGACGAACGGGGCGGTGGAATCGTCGGTGTAAATGATACGGTGTCTCAGGGGGAATCGATAACCCCAGGGGGGGAGAGGGACGGTAGTGACCCTTACCTTTTCTGCTGGTGGGAGAACACAATGATGTAAGCAATGCAACAGCGAAGTGCAAGCTTATGTGCTACAGACACGCGAGGCGCCCACGATGCACCCACGGCCGCCCACCAGGCGAAGCCTCGACAGACCCAGCCCGCGCAGGGGGTGCGCCCACGAGGCGCCCACCACGCAGACCTCGGCAGACGCATCGAACACCCGAGACGCGAGAGCAAACCGACCCCCAAAGAAACGCGGGCACTGCCCGGGGAACCCGGGCTTGGAAGAGGGCGGCCCACGGACGGGCGGCCCGGGCCACGCCTCGGCGGCCGCCACGAGCCAGGCCAGCCAGTCGTCGCTCGCGACGCGGCCGCAGCCCTCGGGGAGGGGGGCCGAGAGGGGGGCGCTGGTCAGGGCCTCGTCGGCCATGGGGCATGCCCGGAGCGTCTGCACACCTCCGTGCCTGGCCAGAACCATCCTGGACCCTGCCATGGTGTCTGCCGAGGCCAGGATGGCCCTTGACAGGAACGATGGTGGCGTATAGATGCACACTGTCGCAGGGCCAAGGATGACCCTTGCCAGGCCCCATGGTGGTGCAAAGATGCCTTGAGAGGATGAAGGAAAGGGGTACCGAGGGAAACGGGTCCTGGATGCTAGGGCTTCTCCGCGGGACCTGCTTTTCATCCTGAGCTGTTTTGTGACAGCCCCGGGGGCCGCAGAGGGCCTGGGGAGCCCGAAACGAACGGAAAGACCACAAGATCCGTTTCCCTCAGGACTCCCATCCTTATGGCGAGCACTGGAGGCAGCCTAGACGGGGGCGGAAGATCGCGCCGCATCGGTGATGCATCGGCGACTCGGGCTCCGCAGCGTGCCGCATCGCCGATGCATCGGCGGTGCGGCGGGATCCTCCCCACGCAATCCGGCCCAGATTGGGCGGTCGGGCAGCATGGGTCAGGAGCCTGCCCCCCCCTGAGATATGGGCTCGGGGCGTGTTCGCCCACACTCGGGCCCTACCGGGGCCCTCACGGAACGATCCGGCTCGCGGAAATGCAGCAGAAAGATCAGCTCGGGGGCCCCGGGCGCGACCTCTCACGACGCTGGAGCCCGCGCCGTCGAACATCGGAGCCCAGACATGCGATGCCTTGATTTTTTCAACACGGGGTCCCCAGGCGTGCCTTGATGAACTTCCCACAGGCGTGCCGCGCCACCCAGTACGGCGTTTCGTGGCCCCATAGGGAGCTCCACCGAAGGCCCCAGTGGCTGTGACCACATGCGCCCCTCACCACCCAGTACGGCGCTTGGTGGCCCCATCGGGAGCTCCGCCGAAGGCCCCAATGGCTGTGATCAGATGCGTCCTGCGCCGCCCAGACGGCGTTTCGCGGCCCCAAAAGGAGCCCCACCGAAAACCTCAATGGCTGTGACCACATGCGTCCCGCGCCACCCGGTACGGCCTGTCGTGGCCACACAAGGAGCTTCACCGAAGACGGCAATGGCTGTGACCACACGCGTCCCGGGCCACTTAGTACGGCCTCCCGTGGCCCGATATGGAACTCCACCGAAGGTCCCCGTGGCTGTGATCACATGTGTACGGCGCCACCAAGGACGGCGTTTCGTGGCCCCATGGGGGGCCCCACCGAAGGCTCCACTGGCTGTGATCAAATCCGTCCCGCGCCACCCAGTACGGCGTTTCGTGGCCCCATAGAAGGCCTCGGTGGCTGTGATCACATGAGTCCCGCACCACCCAATACGGCGCTTGGTGGCCCCAAAGGTAGCCTCAGCGAAGGTCCCGGTGGCCGTGATCTCATGCGTGCCGCGCCACACAGAACGGCGTTTTGTGGCCCCATAGGGAGCGCCACCGAGGCCCCGCTGGCTGTGACGACATGCGTCCCACGCCACCCTGTAAGGCGTTTCGTGCCCCCCTCGGGAGTTCCGCCCAAGGCCCCAAGGCCCTGGTGTGTGTGTGTGTGTGTGTGTGTGTGATGAAATGCGCCCCGCGCCACCCAGTACGGCGTCTCGTGGCCCCAAACGGAGACCCACCGAAGGCCCCGCTGGCTGTGACCACATGCGTCCCGCGCCACCCAGTACGGCATCTCGTGGCCCCATATGGAGATCCACCGAAGGCGCCAGTGGCTGTGACCACATGCGTCCCGCGCCATCCAGTACCGAAGGCCCCAGTGGCTGTGACCACAGTTGTGCGCGCCACCCAGTGAAGCGCTTCGTGCCCCATATTTCGCCCCACCGAAAAAGACATGCACTACTGCGGCACTCACACTTGCATATTGTCGGGTTCGTCGCCAAGATGGTTGTGAACTTATTTTTGTTGCTCTCCCTCTCTCTCTCTGTTTCTCCATCTGCAATCGGACCTGTGCCACAATAACATCACTCATAATCGTGAGAATTTATCCCTCGAGGGTGCACTCCTCAAGGTGCACAAGAACGTCCAACAAACACGACAATACATTAGGGTACCCTCCCCGAGCCGACCTCGATCTTACACCTCGGTCCGACTGTATTTGTGTGTGTACGCACACCATGGTCCTCTCCCAATAAAGCAAGCGGGGTCATTACATCTTGTGGCAATCAGATCATGGCTCCCCATAGTGGCTGTCTTTACGCGAAACCCAGAAACCCTCATCCTTTTTCGCTTGAGCCTTACCCTTGCCGTGCCACGAGGAGGTATCCCGCCCGGACTTGTAATGAAAGACCCAGGTGATTTGAACGTAAAGCTGGCTGGCTGTCTGCCGACCATCTGGTTCTGCATCCATAGCCCATCAGACCTCAAGCCCACTTTACATATTGGTCATGTCCGTCGTCGTGTTGGTTTGTTGTTTCCCAGTCCCCCCGCCCCTTCCGACTCCAGGCCGCACCCCCTTAAGATTTGCACCATCTCGACCACACCCCGCCCCCCTTCCGCCCACAGGCTCCCAGTTGCCCAAAGCTCGCCGATGCCTTCCTGGCCAAGGCGTCCTGCGCCTCACCTCCGCCGACCCCGCCCTGCTGGCCTCCCTATGCCTCCAAAGCCGCACGGCACTCCCATGCAATCTGGATCCCCCTTTTTGCGACGCTTCTCGAGCCAAGTCGATCCGAGGGTTCAGGGGCCCGAGCCCGGTCGACAACGCCCCGTGTGAAAAAAATGCGACGCCCAGATCTGGAATGCCTTCAGGTCCAGGGTGGACAGTGCCTCGGCGACACAGAAAGACGGCGTCCTGCTCGTCGTCGTCCTCATCCTCCGCCTCCTTGTCCTTCTCCTCTTCATTCTCCATCGTCCTCGTCGTCGTCCTCCTCCTACTCCTCGTCCTCGACCTCGACCTCCTCCTCCTCGCCCTGTGGGTTGGGAGGCCTCTAGGTCCTTCTCCTCCTCGTCCAAGTCGACCTCCTCTCTGCTCCTCCTCGCCCTCGTCACCCTCCCCACCTTCGTCCTCGTCCTCATCCCCCATCCGCGCCGTCTCCTCGTCACCCTTCTCCTCCCCTCCTCGCCCTCCGCATCGTCCCCGTCGTTCGTAGTCGTCCGCGTCGTCGTCGTCGTCGCGCCTTACTCCTCTGCCTCCTCCAGCAGGCGGCCGCGAGTCTTCCCCGCGCGGCCGACGCTCGTTGATCAGGAACCAGCGCACTCCCCCACCTTCCCTCGAACGGTATGATTCCCCCGAGAGCGACGCGCAAAGGGCGGCCGCTCCCGGGGGGAGGGGGTGCGCTGTCCAGGGCCTATACTTTGGGCATGCACGGGGACCAGCACGACCAGGTGGCAAGCCGCGAGCGCGGCCCGGCGCTCCAGGCCGCCACGCCAGCCGCCGCTCCCCCGGCGCCTCCCGCAGCAACAGCGCCGGGCAGCCCCCTGCGCCACGCCGCCGCCGCGCCCCGCTGCCGCCGCCGCCGCCGCCGCCGGGCCGCCGCCCGGCCGCTCCAGACTGCGCGCCTGGCCGCGCGCTGCGGCCGCTGCGCGCCTCAACCGCGGCCGCCTCGGTCTCGCCACGGCCGCGGTCGCTCGCGCGCCGCGCCAGCCCCGTCTCCAGGCGCGCCTCTGGCGCCTTGCTCCAGCAACTCCGCGCCCCAGCGCCCTCCTCCTCCTCCTCCTCCTCCTCCTCCTCCTCCTCCTCCTCCTCCTCTCACTCTTCCTCCTCCTCCTCCTCGTCCTCCTCCTCCTCCTCCTCCTCCAAAAAGGAGGGGGGGAGGGGAGGGGCGACAGGAGGCCTCCAGGTCCAGGGTGGACAGCGCCTCGGCGACGCAGAAGGGCAGCGTGGCGGCGCCCGCCAGCGCGGTGGCGCGGACCAGCCCCGCGAGCTCGTCCTCCGCCCGCCGCGCGGAGGACGGGCGAGGAGAGGGAGGAGGAGAACGATCGAGGAGTATCGAGGTGGATCGAGGAGGAGGAGGAGGAGGAGGAGGAGGAGGAGGAGGAGGAAGAGGAGGAGGAGGAGGAGAAGGATCGAGGATAGAGGATTGGATATCGAGGAGGAAGGGGGGGATGAGCCGTCACCTGCCGCCTGGAGAGGCCCGGTCGCGGCGCAGGCGTTGGGATTCGGGACGGAACAGGGTCAGCTCGTGTACGTACCGTCGTCCGCGGTAGCAGCACCCCGCAACATCCTCGCGCTTCGCTGGCGGACCACGGGTCAGCCATGGCAAAGACGACTCACTCCTCGAGCACTGTCGCCTGACCACGAGGCTTGACATCTGGCGGAGCTGACCTGGTCGGTAAACTGGGCAAGGGTGAGAGGAAAGTATCCCGCCGCACCCTCCTCCTGTAAACATCCTCCTCTTCAGCGCACGTCGCACCCAAATCGATGCCATCATGGGTTCCTTCTCGGGTTGGAGCACACTGGCCTGCTGGATGAGCACGCGAGTATCGTCCACACCCACAAGAAAAACACCATACGCATTCGTTCATTCGGGGGGCGGAACTTGTCTTCTGTGCCCGCCGTCTAGAGCCTTACAAGGAACCTTTGGACTTGTTCACCTTCTGCACTTTCAAATCGACGCTAACCGACGCTAGGCGGCGCACATCGACGCGACTCGCCGCTAACTCGATGCGAATAGACGCTATTATCGGCGCTTTCTCATCGACTACCCGACGCTAGCGCACTCTAATGCACTGTGAAGACAGAATTCCGGGGATCTACTTACACGGCTCCCATGGTTTGCAACCGAATTCACTGACTTTCAGTGGGAGTGGACAAGGCACTGGGGTTTAATGATGGGAATGTGCACGACGAGGGGGAAGGAAAGGAGGGACACATAGGCGTGATAGACTTCACTTCGCCACGAACCTCGGATAGCACAAGCGGCCCGGGGGGAGGCGGACCGCTCACGCATCCCATCACAGTACAGGAAGAATGCCCTGTTGTTGATTCCATTGGCACCCTTACCTTTTCTTTCAATGCGCAGTATGCTCTCTCCTCCGTCGTCACATCTCCTCCTTCCTCCCTCCTCCCGCTGGCCTCCTCCTGCTCCTTCTCTCTCATTCCCCTCCTGCCTAGATCCTCCTTCCCCCTCCGTCCCTCCTCCCTTCTCACTCATCCCCCCCTCCATCATACGTCCCTCGTACCACGTCCGCCCTCCTCCTGTCGAAGAGTAACTGCAGCATCAATCCAGGCGGACGTGCAAACACAGCGAGCGTCGGCCAACATAGAAATAATGCTGCCCAGCCCCGACGATTGAACTCACATAGATAAGCTGGAGTGAATATGACTCTTCTTCCTCCACGCAATCGTCCTCCTCCCTACCTCCTCCTGGGCGGGCTCCTTGCCCACGCGCCCCTGCGAGTCCGCCGCGAGGCCCTGGCACTTCTGCCTCAACGCCCGCAGCTGCGAGGATCCGGCCAGCTGGCCAAAGCACACCGCCAGCGCCTCTCACGGAAGCTGCGCATTCGACCATGGGCTCATTGCCACCAACCGGCCTTGGGCGGTCTTCGGTGCTCTTCTGACAGGCTTGGGCGGTCTTCGGCAGGTTCCCGCGGTCTTGGGCGATCTTCCAGCGCGACAAGTGGTTGGCTGCAGTCAACAAGGGGTCCATGATCGAACACCTCACGGCTGGAGGGGGGATGTGCTCTGACTTGGCGGCTAGCCGAGAGGGGTTTGGCGGCGGGGCAATCCTTAGATGGGATCGGGGGATTCTGAGCAGGAAGGCAGGTTGGCTTCCGGGAAGCCCTCATGCCTGCCTCGAAATCGCACCTTCCGCCCACCTCCTCCTCCTCCTCCTGCCCCGCTTGCACGCACCAACAACTGCCGGCCTGCGCCCTGCTCCTGGGCCACCGACTGGGCCCTCGAGAAGCTGGACTGCCGGGTAGCTGGGCAGCTGGCCGGGCTAGCTGGGCTTACCAAGTTCTTGAAGCGCCGTGCCCCGTGCACGCCACGCATGTAATGTGAGTCCCCGACTTATACATATTCACCGTATGGGGAACCGATCTACCAGGACGCCGAGGGAAGGCGGAGATATGGATCTATTTGGGCCCCGGGAGCTCCGAACGTTTCCACATCCACCGCACCCCGGGGTCTAGTAATCTGTTCCCCGAGCGGTCGAAGTTTATGAACCCAAGCCTCGGGATATTTCCGTGTTGGACGGATTTGGCCCTTCCTCCTGGGGCCGGCATAGACATACTTTCCCGGAGGTCCGCGCGGATTTCTTTGATCTGCGCTAGATCCCCTCCCTGGCGCGCGGAGCGCGCCAGGGTCGGTGCAGGAGCGCCGCCAGGGGTGGGGGGCAGCGCCGATTCTAAACATCCGCGCGGACCTTGAGGATTTGGTGCCTCTTTTGTTCCTTGACAGGTGGGGGGCTTGATGCAAATCCAGTATAGATGTTCCAACGCCAGGCTCCCGCCCCGCACGCAGGGGGGCCGAGGCGCAGGGGGACGCGCCTCAACTCGACAGCGGCGAGGCCGTGGCTCTCACACCGAGGTTCGAGGGCAAAACTCTCTGGGGGTAGTTCTGGGCTCTGTTTCCTCTTTGCAGTGCGGCTGGCTTTGCAGGCCTCTGGGGCCCTCCAGATGGCAAGGCTTTGGGCTGCGCGCAGGCAGCCCCGCCGGGTAACCCTGGCTGGCCTCAACAGGCTCCTCGAACAGTCCCAGCCAGGAAAGCCCAGAATCCAAACGATAGATTGAACCGCCGATCGAAATGACTCGGATCGGGGGAAATCGGCAACAAGGTCGGGAGGAATTGAATCGGCGGAAATCAACAGAGCAGTGAGGCCTCATTGAGGGACCGGAATCCGACTCGGAATCAGAAGTCGAATCGGAGGAGTCGAGAGGAACCCTGCCCAGATGGCCTCAACAAAAGCCCCCCGAGCAATCAATCCAGAGCGGTCTCAACGCCCTGGCGCGACGCCTCTGGTGCCACCCCTGGGGCGCGCCCCAGGGTGGAGGTGCTGAGATCGCCCCAGACTGCTCGGGGAGGAGCGTGTTGAAGCCAGCTGGGACTACGGCAGGTTCGCGTCGTGTCGACCCCGGCGTTGGTTTCTGACACCGCGCTGGATCGTTCAACCTTGAACGATCGGCCATTTCCGTAACGTCCGATCGTTCAACATCGACCGATTCTGGGCCTCCGCCGGCGTTCAAGGTTGAACGCCGGCGTCGGGGTCGCCGCTGGTCGACACGACGCGAACCTACCGTACTCGGGGGGCTTGCTGAAGCCAGCTGGGACTACCAGGGGGGGACCGTCTGAGCGCAACCAGAGGCCTCACCACCTCCAGACGCCCGTGGGGACCGACCTGCACCTCCAGGGAGCCTTGGCATCCGTGCGGCAGCGCCGAGGGAGAAAGGAGGCGCTTCCGAAGACAACACCGTCTGCCCCATCACAACGAATGCGATTGGTGCGCTGGCCGGCCGTGATTCTGCAACGGCGGCGGAGGGGGGAGGAAGGTCAGACGAGGGCAAGGCACATGTGAATCTCATCCCCCCCCCAAAACAACGGGTAATGTGGGAAACGGGTTCTGGACCCTGGAGCTTCCGCTTCCCGCCAAAGCCAGCTCTTCATCCTGGGCCGTTTCCTGACCGTCCCAGGGTCCGTGGAGAAACCATGAAAACGAAATACGGCGAAACGCCTCAGGACCCGTCTCTGGCGGTCCCTCTTTCACCCATGGCGAACGATTAACTTTTTGACTGAATTACGAATAAAGAAGCGCTGGCTGTTACAGGGTGTGTGCTTGCTGGGTGACGCGGTTTGAGAAACTTGCCGCCGAGGCCGCACACCACCGCTTGGGGCAGCAAATCTGCTCCCCCTCCCCACTGCACGCACACTGACAACAACATCTATGAAATCAAAAGGTGTCGGAAGTCCGCGCGAATGTGATGGCTTGACGCTGAACGTCGTTGATCCTCATAACGTGGGTCATTTCCAACGTGTGTTTGCCCACTGAAGTTTTCCAAGGCGACGCAAATATCGAAACAAGGGCCGACACCTGCCACACGTTATCGACGGAGCCGAACGGGACAACACACACACACACACACGCACGCAAACATATATACACTGGGCCAACACAAGTCCTGACGACCATCGAGAGCCCCAAACCCCACCTTGCGTGCGAAACGCGCAAGGAGCGGCGCTGGAGGCGGCGCCAAACGGCGGCCCAGTGCCGACACATTTAAGCTGATGTAATTTGTTTGTTTTCGACACGCTCTCCCCCTTCCACGATGTTGTTTAGCACTCCTCGCCGTTCCGTCCCTTTCTGCCCCCTGCGCCCCCAGTAATCCGCAGTCGTCATATCCCCTCAGCTCGCATGCGACCTCCCCCCTTTTTCTGACCCCCTTAAACTTTGTCCATCGCAACCTCTCCTCGGTATCTTTCTCCTCTTCCTCATCCTATTCCTCTTGAATCCCCCACTTCTTCTCGCCCTTTTCCCTCCCACGTTCTCCCCCACGTTCCTCCTCCTCCTCTTTTCTCCCCCACTTTCTCCCCCCACTTTCCTCCTCCTCTTTTATCCCCCACTTTCTCCCCCACTTTCTCCTCCTCTTTTCTATCCTTTTCCTCCTCCACGTCCTCAACGTCCTCCTCTATCCCCCCCCGCTGCGTCTGTACCTCGTTCGCCTCGTCCTCCTCCTCCCCCTCCCTCCCTCCTTCCATCCTCTCTTCTCTTCTCTTCTCTTCTCTTCTCTTCTCTTCTCTTCTCTTCTCTTCTCTTCTCTTCGCCCGACATGGGCTGTTGGGGCAAGCGCCTCGGGCACAAGGGTGGGGGACGGCACTTGCCCCCACTGCGGAGCCGAAATAATGAAGGCCTGGCAGAGAAGCACATGCCCGGGCACGAGCAAGTCCCTGGGTGGCCCGTCGCGCAACTCGGCGGCACTGCGGGAGGGCCCCACGGGACCCGCGCCTGCCGTGTAGCCGCGCCCATGGACAGGCGGAGGTCTCCGTCGTACGCGTTGCCCTCCCTTGGCCTCCACCTACACGCTGCCCGTTTCACCTGCTTAGACATCCACGCACGCACGCGCGCGCGCCGCCCCACGCGCGCACCCACAACGCGCCCACACGCACGCACACAGACACACATAGACAGACACAGACACAAACACACAGAGACACAGAGACACAGAGACACAGAGACAGACAGACAGACAGACAGACAGACAGACAGACAGACAGAGACACAGGGACACAGAGACACACAGAGACACACACAGACACAGAGACACACACAGACACAGAAAAACAGAGACACAGAGACACAGAGACACAACGACACGCGGACACAGAGACATAACGACACACAGACACACAGACACACAGACGCACAAGCACAGAGACACAGAGACACAGAGACACAGAGACACAGAGGCACAGAAACATAGAGGCACCGAGACACAGAGGCACACAGACACAGAGACACAGAGACACACAGACACCGAGACACAGAGAGTCACCGAGACACAGAGACACCGAGACACACAAACGCACAGACGCTCAGACACGCAGACACACAGACATATACACACAGACACAGAGACACCGAGACACCGAGACACCGAGACACCGCGAGACACCGAGACACACAGAGACACACAGAGACACTGAGACACCGAGACACAGAGACACAGAGACAAAGAGACACAGAGACAGACACACAGACACACAGACACACAGACGCACAGACGCACAGACACACAGACACACACACACACACACACACGCGCGCACGCACGCACACACACACACAGCACGCACACACACACACACGCACGCACGCACGCACGCACGCACACGCACACACCCACACCCGCACACACCCCCACCCGCCCACCCACGCACGCACGCACGCACGTACGCACACGCACATTCACGCACACAGACACACACACATGCACGCACACGCAAACAAACACGCACACACAGAGACACACACACACAGGCACACACATTCACACACAGACACAGACACACAGACACAAACACACACAGACACAGACACAGACACACAGACACACGCACACGAACGCACGCACGCACGCATGCACGCATGCACGCACAAACACATAAACACACACAACGCAAACATACGCACACGCAATCGCACACGCACACGCAACACGCACACGCGACACACAGCACGCAGCACGCAGCACGCAGCACGCAGCACGCAACACCCAACACGCCACACGCCACACGCAACACGCAGCACGCAACACGCAACACGCAACACGCGGAACGCAACACGCAACACGCAACACGCAGCACGCAACACGCAACACGCAACACGCAACAGGCAACACGCAACACGCAACACCCAACACCCACCACCCAGCACCCAACACAATGCACACAACACACACAACACACATACACATACCTATACGACCACCCTTCGGGTGATACGGAGGTTCGGGGGGGGGAGGAACCGACGTCTCACTCGATCGGTCTCACCATCGATCTCACGATCGATCTCACTATCGGTCTCGCTCGATCGATCTCACTCGATCGATCTCGAAATCGATTTCACTCGATCTATTTCATTCGATCGATCTCACAATCGATCGGGCTATCGATCCCACAATCGATCTCACTATCGATCCCACGATCGATCTCACAATCTATCTCACATTCGGTCTCGCTATCGATCTCACTATCGAAATCACATTCGAAATCGCAATCAACGTCACCATCATCATCATCAAACTTATCGTCATCATCGTCATGAACATCATCATCATCATCACCATCATCATCGGGACACCATCATCGGGACACCATCATCACCATCACCTCATCACCATCATCATCAACATCATCATCATCACCATGATCATCACCGGGACACCATCATCGTCACCATCATCATCATCGGGACACCATCATCATCATCGGAACACCACCATCATCATCGTCATCTCATCATCATGAACAACACCATCATCATCATCATCGGGACACCATCCCCGTCAACAGCAACATCATCATCATCGACATCACCATCATCATCGGGACACCATCATCATCGTCACCATCATCATCATTACCATCTTCATCGTCATCGGGACACCATCATTATCATCAACATCAGCATCATCATCACCACCATCGGGCCACCATCATCAAAATCACCATCATCACCTCATCATCATCCTCCTCCTAATCATCATCGGGACACCATCATCGTCATGTTCATCATCATCATCAACACCATCATCATCGGGACCATCATCATCGGGACTCCATCATCATCACCATCATCATCACCATCATCATCATCAACAGCATCATCATCAAGCCCATCATCATCATCATCATCATCATCATCATCATCATCGGGACACCACCATCATCATCTTCATCATCATCATCATTACAGTATCATCAACATCATCATGATCATCAACACCACCATCATCATCATCATCGGGGCACCATCATCACCATCAACAACATCAGCATCATCAACATCATCATCATCATGACCATCATCATCATCATCATCGGGACACCATCATCATCACCATCATCAGAAGCATCGGGACACCATCATCATCATCATCGGAACACCACCGTCGTCATCATTTCACCATCATCATGAACAACATCATCAACATCATCATCATCGGGACACCATCGTCATCATCATCGGGACACCATCATCATCATCATCATCCTCGGGACACCATCATCATCGTCACCATCATCATCATCACCATCATCGGGCCATCATCATCATCATCGCCGGCATCATCATCATCGTGCCACCATCACCATCACCGGCATCATCATCATCACCTCAACAGCATCCTCATCATCAACATGATCAGCGTCATCATCAGCGTCATCAACAGCATCATCATTATCATCGGGACACCGTCATCATCACCATCATCATCAACACCATCATCATCAATCTCATCATCATCATCATCATCATCATCATCATCGGGACACCATCATCATCATCATCCTCATCATCATCTCATCATCATCATCATCACCATGATGATGATGATCATCATCATCATCATCATCGGGACACCATCATCATCATCAGCAACATCATCGTGACACCATCATCATCACCACCATGGCTATCATCATCATTATCATCATCATCGTCATTATCATCGGGACACCATACCATCATCATCATAATCATAATCATAATAATCATCATCATCATCATCATCATCATCATCATCATCATCATCATCATCATCGGGACACCGACGGGACACCATCTGGACACCGGCGGGACACCGCGCGCCACCGGCCCCCGGACAGGAAACATTTGGTCCGGCCGCGCCTCAGCCAGAGGCGGGACACTTCTCGCCCACCCACGCAGCTTCGCCTCGCCCGCACGCGCGCACGGCACGCACACGAAACCGAAACCGATTTCCTGGTAGGGGGGCTCTCCGTTCCACTTCGATCTCACCCCCTCACCTCCGACACATGCACATGCACGTGCACATGCACATACACATACACACATACACATATACGCACACACGCGAACCCGCACGCGCACCAAGAAGGGGCAGCCACGCTCGCCCGCAAACGCACGCGCGTGCGTGCCACTCGCGCGCGTCGCGCCACCGCCACACCTGAGCCACCTCGGCAGTTTGCATAAACCCAACGAGCGACAACGATCCAAGGCACCGCTGCGCTTCACGCCCCCTCCCCCTGAGGGCCGCCTGCGCGCCAGGCCCCAGGGTCCTGGACGGGCGGCGCTCGCGCCTCGGCGCGCGCGAGGCGGCGCCGCCCGGCCAGCGGCAGGCGCGGGCGCCGGGGGCGGCTGCGCGGCAAGAGCAGCGGTGCCCGGAGGGGCTCACGCACGGCGCCGCTGGATCACGGAGCGGTCCAGTCCCCGATGGCCGCCAAGAGCGCGGCTCGCATCCACGGGGCCCCAGAGGGCGTAACCACACGGGTCCCCCCACCACCTCCTGGGCGGATGGTCGCTCCAATCTTCTGCCCGTTCGAGCCGTACAGGAAGAAGGCCTGGCCTGGGTGCTGGTACAGCGGCTGAAATACGGGATGCGCGGCAGCAAGGCGCAGGATGTCAAACACGGTGATCGCCCGCTCGTCTGCGCGCCGAAGACTGGCCCGCTGGGCGGTCGGCGCGTCATCACCAGCCGCCGACGCACGACGGGAGCGGCGCGAGGTTCTACTCGGCACGGGCGGCGGCTGCCCACCGAGCGCCGGGAGGACCGAGGGCACTGCGGGCACTGCGGGTCCAGCGGGCAGCTAGCCAGGCACATGACTATACCCACGGGCGCCTGAAGCCCTCCCTCCCCTCCTCCTCCTCCTCCTTCTCCTCCTCCTCCTCCTCCTCCTCCTCCTCCTCCTCTTCCTCCTCCTCGTCCTCCTCGTCCTCCTCGTCCTCCTCCTCCTCCTCCTCCTCCTCTTCCCCTCCTCCCCCTCCCCCTCCCTTCAGACGGCGCTGCGGCTCTCGACGTTCCCTCCTGCCGAGTCGACCCGGCTCTCCTCCTCGGTGCACCCCTGCCTGTCCCGAAAAGGGACGACGAGCTTTGCACCTAAAGGGGTCGTCGCTGGCCTGCGGGAGGGCCAGGCCCCGGCCTTTCCTGCAGCGACGACGGGTTCCTCTGCGAGAGGCCCTCTGGGCGTTCCTGCTCGGAGCTGTGGGTCCCCCCCCCTCTGCTCGCTCTCTCCCTGTGCGCAGGCTGGCCCCATAACCGAATGGCGGCCTGCACGCCGCCGACCGCCTCTGTTTTCCAGCCGGGGAGCCCCAGCAGTCCGCGCCAGAGGGGACGTCATCCCACCACCCCTGTTTAGCTGACGGCGCCTCCGGCTCTGCGAGAATGGCCTGCTGGGCACGTGCGGCGCGGGGGCCTGGGGCATTCTGCGACCTCTCTCTCTCTCTCTCGCCCTCCGTGGCCTCCGATCCTCACTCCTCCTCCTTCCCTCCTGCCGCCCCTGCTCGGCCACCACAGGCGCGCCTTCCACCGGCCTGGGCACGCCGGTGCGGCGGCGGCGGGCGAGGCGGGGCCTGGGGCAGGGCGACAAGCAAAAGCCTCGGGGGGGGGGCGAGCCTCGAGTAGAGGCCCCCAGGACGTAGAGGAACAGACAACGGCATCAGCATAACACATAAACTTTCGGAGCTCCGTTTGGACTTCTTAGAACGGCGCTGGAGGCTCATTCTTGGCGCCTCCTTCGCCGCCCCTCCCTAGCGCTCTCCACGCGCCAGGGAGGGGTGTCCAGCGCCCATCCAAGAAATCGGAGCGGAATTACGAAAGTTCAAAGTTATGCAATTTTTTTGAATCTTCGAAGATGGGGTCCGAGCAAATTGGGCCGGAAGATCGCGCCGCCTCGCCGATGCACCGTCAATGCATTGGTGGTGCATCGACGACGCCGGCGATGTATCGGCGATGCCGGCGCAGTCCTGAGACCCAATCTGCTCGGACCCCACCTGGGAGGCCCAGATCGATGGGTCGGGGGGGGACGCCACCCAGGGGGGGAGGGGAACATCAAAAAGAGCCACTGTTCGAATTTGGTTCTGAGGGGGGGACAGGGGGAGCCGAGGGGGAACAAAAACGCCTCCCAGACCCTCCCCCGCCGACCCGCCGAGGGAGAGGCCAAACAACCACCAGACCAATAAAAAAGCCAAGCCCGGGCGCGCGGCGGCGGAAAGGGGACCCCCTCGGACCCAGGCGGCACAACAAAATCGCGGCGCCGTCGCAATCCTGTCTGTAGGGTCTGGGGGGCTCCCGCAGCTGCCCCTCAGAATCTGTGGGCCCAGCTCTGACAGCTGCTGCATACGAGAGACTGGCCGTCGGGCGGCCCATTTGTTTTGGGGCGTGCTCGGCTTCCGCAGGGCGCTGACTGGTCCCAAGGCCGCCAGCAAACGAATCGGGGTCCAAATCTGGCCCCAGGGAAGTGGTCGAGGCCCCTGGCGCCAAGGTCACGAACAAAGTTGCAGCATCGGAGTCGGGGAGAAGGGGGGATCCTTTGCATCCTGAGGCCGAGGATCGAAGATCGAAGATGATGAAGTTCCTGGTGCATTTTGCACACACTGGGGGTGTCCGGGCGGCTTTTCGTAACCACACCCCAAACAAAATCGGGGGGGGGGGGGGGCGATATTGGACATCGCGTCGTGAGGAACACACAGATGATGGGAGTTCTGTCTGCCGCTTTCAGCATCCAAGGCCCTCACGGGGCCCTGGGGCCGTCAGAAAAAGGCACGGGATGGAAAGCTGGCCATGGGGGAGGGGTCAAGACCCCCGTGAGTCCCCCATGGTGTGCCGAAAAGACCGCGACTCGGGTGCACTGGGCCTAACATATGGTGCGCCGCCAGGGGGGGCAGGAGAGCGGAGGCGCAGCCAGGGTCACAGCGGAGCCTTGCGCAGGGTGCGGAACGGTGGAGGCAAGGCGGGGAGAGGGGGATCACTGGCATCTGCAAACGGACATGCGCACGCCGAAGCATAAACGTTAGCTCCGCGCGGACCTTCGGAAACATGTGGCCGCCTCCAGCAATCCTGCCGACTTCCACCAGCCTTCCGCCGGCTCAACCGCGGCCGTTTTACTGCAGCTGGCTTCCGCCGGCCTTCCGCACGCATCCGCCGAAGGCGAGATCCGAAGACGAGGCCCTTTCTGGAACGACATCCTATATGTTGATTCAAATCTTGTTCAAGGAGGTCCCGAGGGAGATGCCTCACATCTGGAGCATTGCCGAAGGAGGGAGAGAAGCGACGGGCGGTTCAGCCACGCCTCAGGCCCCAGTGCTCCCACATGCAGACGGTGTGGTCGGGATCTCTGGTAGTGAGTTACTACGGCGTTGGTTGCTTCACAACAGCGCCGGATGTCGCGGGAGGGGGAGGGTCAGTAGCAGCAGGCAGGAGGAGGAGGAGAGGGGGTCAGGGAGCCAGCAGCAATCCACCAATGCCAAAACGGGGTCGACAAATAACTCGCTCGACCGCCAGGTGCTGGCGCCACCTCTTCCCACAGAAGGGAGACGACCCAGGGCCAACCCCGAGACGATGGTTCCCATTGGGTATGAGTGGGCCCATGGTCGTTCCCAAGGGGTGATACCTGTGCCGGCCCAACACGGCTTCCCCAAGGCTCTGGACCCCTCCCCCCGGGCCAAAGTTCTACTGTGGGCAATTTTTTGATGGCCCTGGCCCGAGAGTGGGCCTCGCCCAGACCGGCAGCGCAGCCGCTGCGACTGCCTCGTGATTCGACGCTGGAGGTCCAGACCAAAGACCTGCCGGCGTTCTGGTCAGAACTTCAGGGAGGGAAAAGCGGCCGTGGCTACGCAAGGGCGCTCCGCGCCCCAGGAGGCCCGACAAGAGATAGGTAGTTCAGATTTCGGCGATCACACGACTTATCTGGGGGGAGGGGGGGAGGTGTCGGCCGATACCCTAACCTCTTCGCTTTGCGCAGCCCGCGAGTGCCCGCGCGCACCAGTACTGCGCACCTCCTTCTGACCTGGACCTGCGCAACTGGCAATGGGGAAGGGCCAAACGTACCCACAGGACGACGTACCCCCAGTGAGGCGTCGCAGCGGCCATGAATCCAGCCACGGTGGTCGCCAAAACGCAATCTTGGGCGCCACGAGGCGGGCCCTGAGGCCCCCACTCCAGGGCACGTCTGTTCTGGGGCACGTTTGGCCTCCTCTGAGGCAAGGTCAAGTTATCGCGGGGGGGGAGGGAGGGGGGGCCAACAGGGGACCTGTCGACCTCCATCCCAGGCTTTGGGAGGTGTTCGAACGCACCAGAAATGTTGGGCCCGGTGGGGCGTCCAGCCTCGACAGCGGTGCGTCCGAGTAGCCCAGCCTCCTTGGGGTGTATCCCAAGGCTTCCCCTTTCCTTTGAGTGGTCAAACTCTTAGGGCGGAGCTCGGGGATTGGAGGAGAAAACTCGCCTGCGAGGGGCGGGCGGGACCGATAACCCGTGTCATCGCCGGGCGCTTGAGCAAACACGGCGGCGTGCCCGGGGGGAAGCGAAAGGGGGCGGCTGGGCCTTCTCTCAGAGGTCCGCTGGTCTTCGGAGAAGTGTCGGACGCCTTCCCCGAGGATGCAGAAGAGCAACTTCTCAGAAGGCTCGAGAGCTTCTTCGAAGCCCCGCCGCCTTCTGAGAGGGCCTCATCCTTCTCACTTCGCCCCGTCGCTCGCCGCCGACGCGCAGCCTCGATAAGCCAAATACGACAGGAGGAGAACAGAGACAAGAGCGTCACATCTCGAGCCTCGAACCCCGGTCCTCGCCGGGCCCCGTCGGCGGCCCGAGCTTCTGATGCGTGGGCCTCTCGACCAATCTCCTGACGTGCGGTCCTGGGTCGTCTCCCTCTGTGGCAACTCACGGGGGCCTCCCACGCCATGTGGCTGGTGCTGGCGAGCCGACTCTCTCCGACGCGGGTCAAAGCCACTCAACGCTACGTGAACGCTACATCGACGCTAAATCGGCGCTGTCTCATCGATTACCAGACGCTTATCGACGCTGATGCACTCTAGAGGTCAAAGCCACTCAACGCTACATGAACGCTACATCGACGCTAAATCGGCGCTGTCTCATCGATTACCAGACGCTTATCGACGCTGATGCACCCTAGAGCCCGAATGAAGGGCACCCGAGGCTGCCATGACTTGCTACAAAACGGTTCCGACGGCCCCGGGGTACGAAGCTGAAGAACAGAATCGCCGAGGATCTGGGATCTGGGGGTGTCTGGTGGGAACCGCTTGTCCCATGAGGCTTCGCAGAAGTGCCAAGGAACTACGCATCGTGCATAATTTCGGGCGTAGCCCGAATTTGTTGCTCGCGAGGTGCACTGACTGAGCTGAACTGAACTGAACAGACTGGTCGCCCCCTTTACGCGACGGTTTGACTCTCGGCCGCCAAGGGGGCAACCTATGGCGCAACCGATCGGAGACTGTTTTATTCTCGGCCGCCGAGGGCGCAACCCATGGCGCAACCGATAGGAGACGGATTAACTCTCGACCGCCGAGGGCGCAACCCATGGCGTAACGGATAGGAGATGTTTTTATTCTCGGCCGCCGAGGTGCCAGGAGAAGGATGATGAGCAGGAGGAGGAAGAGAAGAAACGAGGACGAGGTCCGAGTTGAGGACGACGAGGAGGAGCTGGAGTAGGAAGACGAGGAAGACTAGAAAGATGAGGACGACGACGATTAGGATGGGGAGGGAGACGGGGAGGAATACGAGTAGTACGAGGACAAAGTGTGGGCATTCGAATGCGTGCGGGGCTAAGCTCGATTTGTGCTCGCCGTTTGGGCTGGCGGTGTGGCCCAAGCGGCGAACTGTCTTGTGATTTTCCAGCCAGCTCTCTGGCGACAAGTGTTGAAACAAATATATGCGCTGTGCCTTGGCCGCCATTTGCGAATAAGTGGTGGACAAACATACCGTAGCATATGGCAAATTCGTGTCGTGTCGACCCCGCCGTTGTCTCCTGACACCGCGGAGATCGTTCAACCTGGAACGATCGGCCGTTCCCGAAACGTCAGATCGTTCAACATCGACCGATTCTGGGTCGCCAGCGGCGTTCAACGTTGGACACCAGCGGCGCTGGTCGACACAAACAAGTTACCACCTCTGGGGGCCTAACGTGTACTCTGGCCGCCTCCCGCCTGCCTTCCGCCTGCGTTGTCTGCCTGCTTTGCCCGCCTGCTTCCGACAGCGGAGACCCCCTCGTTTCACCTCCGATGGCTTCCGCCGGTCCATCGAGGGCGAGACCATTTCTGGAACGCAGCGCCGGGGGCGGGATCGCCGCCCATCGGCACGACACGATCCCACCATGGTGGACTCGTTCCCGGCCCCGATCCGGGGGTGGTGCGCAACCCACGCGGAGCCCCCGCGCGCGCGGGACGCCCCCGGGGAGGGCCCGGGCCCTGGTCGGCGCGGCGCAGCCAGGGGTGTGCCGCCGCGGCAGCCGCCGTCAGCCGCCCGCGGGGGTCGGGCTGCAGGAGGCCAGAGATGAGGTCCTGCCGCGAGGCTGCGGGGCGGGGCGACGGTTCTGCGGCAGCTCACGGGAGCCTCCCATACCATCTCACTAGTTCTTGCGAATTGACGCTGCTCGACACCAACGACGCTAACTCGGCGGCTCTACCTCATCGGTTATCGTACGCCATTCGACGCTAGCGCACTCCAAGTGTGGAATTACGAGGGTATACAGTCCCATGAATTGCTACCGAAATATGGTGAAACTTCGGGTTGCGCACAGACAGCCCCCCAGGTAGTCCCGGCTGGTCTCAAGAGGCCCCTGGCCTCAACAGGCCCCAAGAGTAGTCTGTGGCGGTCTCAGCACGCTGGCACCGACTGCGGCGGCGCCACTGGCGCGCTCCGAGCCCCGGGGTTGACATGTACAAAGACCGCCAAGGACTTCTCGGAGGGCCTGTTGGGGCCAGCTGGGACTCCTCGCGGGGGCCTGCTGAGGCCAGCGGGGACTACTCGTGGGGCGGCTGTCTGTACGCTGCCCGAAGCCTCACCACCGGCGGGGCGAGGCCGGGCCCGGATCTCCGACGATGTGACTTTGTCAATCGTGATGCTTCTCTTTGACTTCGACCTCAGAGCCCAGGACCATCAGAAATGAGTCCGGGCCATCAAAAAAGAACTCCACGAACATGCGTGTGTGTGTGTGTGTGTGTGTGTGTGTGGACTCCTGCTCCTCTCCTCCACCAAGTGCTCCAACGATCACCACGCCAACATCGTCTGGTGGTGTGGTATCCCTGCACCGGCAGACAGGTCAGGGCGTTTCAGTCCAAACCGTATGTATGCCCCGGGCCAGCGCTTCCCTGAAGCGCAGAGAAAATCTGCACGAACACCGCAGAGACGACAAGAGCCTCGACCGTACGGCACTCGGGGGGGCCCTGAGAGCGCAGGCTCGTCCGCCCCGGTCGCCAGCACGAGGCCACCGCTCTCGCGGCGGCAGCCCCGAGGGCCACTCTGCAGTACTGCCCAGGGGCGCTGGCGTCCCAAAGCGTCGCGCCATCCTGCACGGGAGCTCCTGATTGCAACCCGTATTGCAACTCGTGGAGGGAGACGAGGAGAGACAAGGAAGGACCCTCCAACTACCCCTCCCCCCCTTTCGGAAAGGCAGGGGCGTCGCCCACGTTCCGTGTCCTTGGCTGGAGTAGACATTCGTCGCCCCGACAGCGCGCCCCTCTCCAGGTCCAAATGCTCGTGGCCCAGCTGGATAGCCTCAGAACGGACAAAATTACGGCGGGTTCTTCCCGAGACGACTTGCGCGGTGGTTTCTGACGTCGTGCGGATCTTTCAACCTTGACCGACCACAACTTTCATATAGCGCCGACCCTTCGGTGTCGGCCGATTCTGGGCTAGTGGCTCTCGACCTTGAACCTTCTCGCTGGGCTCGCCGCCGCATCGACGCGACACGAACCTTCCGTAATTGGGGAGGGTGGGGTGGAGAGGAGATGAAGAGAGGGGGGGCAGAGTGGGGAGGGCCAAGCTAGGTGCGCTCGCGTCATATCTGACGTCCTACCCCTCCCTCCCATCCCTTACCATGGCGCTGATTTTCTCTATCCGCGGACGCGTGTCGTAGCGGACCTGTGGCTCCGCGCGCGCGTGCGTAGTGGGTGGTGGTGCGCGTGCGTGCGTGCGTGCGTGTGTGCGTGGTTGTGGTGGTGGTGGTGGTGGTGGTGGTGGTGGTGGTGGTGGTGGTGGTGCTGGTGCTGGTGGTGGTGTTGGTGCTGGTGGTGGTGGTGGTGGTGGTGGTGGTGTGGTGGTGGTGGTGGTGGTGGTGGTGGTGGTGGTGGTGGTGGTGCGGCGGCGCGGTGGTGGCGGGCGGATGGGCGCGCGAGAAAGAGGCCCGCGCTGGGGCGAGAACGCCATCCTCAACGACGGAGGCCAAACACCGATCCGAAAATGAGGCCCACGCTGCAGCGGGAGCACGATTCGGAACGATTCGGGAGCAGAAATGAGGCCGGCGCCTCAGCGAGAGCAGCATTTTAGAAAAAAACACAAGCGAAAACCCAACTCCGGGGAATCCTGTGTTTAAAAAAACAGTACGCGGGGGGGTGCCGAATATCTTCCGGACGCCATCAGGGGAAGTGGGAGAGTATTTTCATATTGTGTAATTGTAAAGGGGGGAGGGAAGGCGGGAGGAGATGAGCGGGGCATAAAGGGAGGGCAAGATGAGCGGGAAGGCAGGCGATGTGATCTCCCTCAGCATTAAGGGGGCAAATAGGTTTCGCGGACACGAGGGGCCTGGGGCGTTTGCCCTCGCGCAGGGCATCCCTGGCGCACGCGGCAGCGGCGGCAGCTGTGAGACAATCGAGCACCAGAGCCCCGAAGGAAGCAGGCCACAGAACAGGGAACGACCTGGCGGCTGTGCCAGAGCGCGCCATCGATCACCCCGCGTTTCGACGTGTCGAGGAGCAGCCCGCTGGTGCCGATAACATCGGCTGGATGTCGGCAACAGCGCCTGTAGATGATCGCTTCGCGCAGCGCTTGTGATGATGGAAAAATGACCGCCGCCGCCAGGAAAACTAGACTGGAGCTAAGTCGTGATCCCGCAGCCCGCTGGTGGGGTAATTACGTAATCCCCCAACCTCCGTAATGTGGGTTTGATCCGTGCTGGTCGCATTCGTTTTCTGGACGTGGATGAGGGACAGCGCGTTGCATATACGTGGGCGGCTTGAGTACTGCAGCGGGCACGGGCGACGCAAGCAAACAGTTTCGGGACCCGTGGGTGGCATGGGTCGGTCAACCGACCCATGCCACCCACGGGTCCCGAAAAGATTGACGATGCGCAGCGCGGGGCAACAGCGCCGGCATCTGCAACATCGGCACCTCCCCAGCAGGGCCTCTCCAGAGCCACGCTCCGGCAGAGCATCACCTAGCGAGGGAGCTCTCTCTCGCACTCTCTCTCCTGCTGGTGCCACGGCTCCCGAGCCGCGCTCTGGAAGAGCGTGAGCGTAACACTGTTGCCCTCATGCAGCCTGTCCTCTGCTTGGCGGGGGCCTGGCCCCACCGAGCGGGGAGGCGGCCCGCCAACCCACGGAAGGAGTGGAAGCTCCTCGCTCTACAGGGGTCCGCCAGAGGAGCTGCCCGCCATGGCCTGGCAGAGAGTCCTGGCTCTTCCGACCAGGAGAAGAGGTTCCTTCTCCCCCCCCCCCTGCTCATCCCTCCACCTCCCCCCTGTTACACTCCTCCTTCTCATCCTCCCCCGTATCTGCCCCATCCTCCTTCTCCTCCTCCTCCTTTTTCTCCTCCTCCTCCTCCTCCTCCTCCTCCTCCTCCTCTACCTCCTCCCCTGCTCCTCCTTCCCCTCCCGTCACGATCCGTAGCCATGTTGTCCCAAGCTGGTGGCTCGAATCCCCCTGGGAGACGGGCGGTGCGAGTATGGTGGTCGTGGGAGAGCCTCTTCGTGGGACTGCCAGGCCGCGTGCCTCGGCTGACCGGCTCATCTTCAAGCTCGAGGGCGAGCTGGGCTCGGCGAGGCTGGAGATCGGCCGCTTGCAGGGTCTGCTGGACCGTGCAGCCGCCAGCTGCAGTGGCGAGGCCGCGGACGAGGCTCGCCGCCGCGAAGCCATCGCGCGGCCAGCGCTGTTGACCAAGCTCTCTGGGGACCCGGAGCTGCTGGACGACCGCAACGTGTCGTGGCACGCGCAGTGCTGGGTGCACCATGCCCCGAGCGTCGACCTTGTCGCAGCAACTTGTCGCAGAGCAGGCGTGCGGCATGCCCTGTCCGCGCGGGGTTGTTGCGTTTTTCTGGAGTGCTGGTCTAGTGCAGTGCCTGTGGAGGCCGCTGTGAGGAGCCTCGGAACCCCGCGAGGGACGCGGCCGCGAGGGTCCTGCTGGAAGCGCTGCGAAGGACCTTTCACGCGGCGAGGCGGCTGCAGCCGAGTTTCCAACCAGGGGCGCCCCCCCCGCCCTGGTCGACGGCTCTGAAGGGGAGGGAGGGGCCACGGGCCCGCCGCTGGACGCCGCGCCCGTTTTTGCAGGCTGGCAGCGTGGCACTTCGTCGTGCCCCAGATTGGTGGCGGGCGCGCGCGGCAGTCGCCAGACTCTGGCTTGGCCCTTCGCTGGGGGCTCGGTCATGACCAAGGGGGCCTCCCCGAGATCGGCCCCTCGGAGCTCCAACTGAACTGCGAGGTGATACCAGACGTGGCTGCCAACGGCTTTTCGGATTGGGTTCCGAAGGGGCTCCCCCCTGACCCTCGGCCTGAACATTGTTTCCTCTAGCCTCACGTTCTTGCAGGGCGCGCCGCTGATATTCACCTAATGTGTGTTTTGTTTGCGTCGGTTGTCCCGCGGGTCCTGGATTTGTTCGTGTGCAAAGGGCGTCGCTCGCCCGCTAGATGTGTTGGCTGGGCTTCCTGAAAAGGGTTCGATTTGCGGAGCCGATGGGTTCAGGCGATCCTCCTCCCACCCTGGCTCCACTACGGCATATGGCGGCGAGCGAGGCGGCGCTGAGGGATGATTGCGTTTTTTTTGTCGGTGCCCACCAACGCACTACAAAGAACCTTAAGTTGGCTCGTATCTGAAATGGCAGCGGGCGAAAACATTGTGATACACATGCGCATGGGTAGAGGTGATAAGTAGGGGCGAGCGGGGACAGGCGTCGAATCTGACGCCATAAGCCATACAGACAAGCAAAACTGGCGTTTTTTCCAGCAGTGATCTTTCAATCGTTGCAGATTAGAGCCCGTCACCAGCTCCAAAATCTCGCACCCAAAACAACGGGTACATATCTAAAACGGATGCCGTCTGCAGCCGGCGTTGTGTAAAGACAACAGTGTCTCGCTCATTGGGCTCGTCAACCCATCGGGTATATGTGTTCCGCGGGCCGGGAAATAGGAATATAAACGCATGCAGAACTGCTCGAACGCGCGAAAAAACATGCGACAACCTCGGCACTGCTTCAGTGGGGTAGAGAGAGGGAATGAGGAAAGAGGGGTCCAGCAAAAAAGATTTGGGCGCCAACGCGCCAGGTGTAAAAAACGGTTCGGGGACATCTCCTCCATCCGCACTTCCCAGCGCTCGCGCGCAACGCGTCTCACACCGTCTTCGCAATTTGTTCTCGAAGCTCGATGCTCCGCGTCCCTCGAGCCAACGTCTCGTGAAGGTGGTCAGCCGGCATATCCTTGGTCACGTCGCTCAGCATTTTCGTACCGTCCGTCCATCCCACCGTCGTCTGAGGTTGCTCCAATCTCTCACGGATGTTGGCGAGCTCCAGGTTCGCTGACTTCTGCACTTCTGCGATGAGCTCCCCGCGCCTGCGTTCGAATTGGGCCTGTCGCGTCCGTCTTTGTAGTCCGTGACGACTGTCATCGGAATCTATCGCCCTGAGAGCCGCATCCCAGCACCGCGCGCCACTGGGCCGTAGAGCATCTCCGCAGTTTGATCACGTATACCTCGGGGTCACGTCCACTGCATCTCCAGTCGCAATCACCCCCGCCGCGCAGAAGCTCCTCGCCGCACGCGTCAGCTTGTGACTCCGAACCTCCGGGAGAGAAAGCTTGCCCATGCCGCCGTGCACGAGCTGGCCTCCGTGCGTGCCAGCCCTCTCGGTTGCGGGGTCGGACTGCAGCTCCGCGCCGTCGCTCAGCGCGTTGCCGAGCGAACTGTCCGATATCACCGCCGGACCGAATCGCTTCTGTCGATCGGCCGCATCGCGAGCTTGAAAGTGGAGCCCCGCTTCAACTCGCGCAAACTGTGGCGCGCCTTGATCAACGCTGCGATCCGCAAGCCCTTCTTCCGACCCTGCTCACGCTGCAAAGCCTCCAAGTCGTGCAAGTGGTCCACGCGTAGCTTCGTCGCTGGCCAGTTGATCTCCTCCACGATTTGCTCCTTGTCGTTCATCGGCATGCGCGGCGCAATCCCCCCGACTTTCGGCGCCGTGCTTGATTCCAATCCAGCAGCGAACTCCACCATGTCGATTGCGGATGGCTCCTCCAGCTTGGCGTTGGAACCTCCGGCCACAGAGCGCGACATCATCGTGCTCCTCGGATGCAAAACCGAGCTCCCGACCCAGGGTATCCGTCACCCTCGACATCTCCCTGGTCCCAGAACAGGAAGTCGCCCGCGTGTTTGCGTGCGCAGCCCCATGGACTGCCTGGGCCTCGCCCTCGTGTCTTCGGGTCGCGCAATATCATGGAGGCTGGGTCGGACCGCGAGGCTTCCGCGCCGAGCTCGCGCGCGGCAGACGCCGCCTTCAGGTGCCAAAATCTCGGCCC